GAGCGCAGACCTTGGATAACAGGTGCCCGCCTTCCCCCAAGCCGGCAGCTTCCCCTGGAAATAAATTCGCACACTCAGTTTGGTTTCTAGGGGTGTGTGTCAGGGGATTGAAATTGTTGCATTTTCCCCAGAATCTACAGTTGCCATCTAGCAGTGCACTTCAAGGACCCCCACTTGCCTTCTTTTCTAACAGCGTTATCCTGGCTCTTTCTTAGAGGCCAAGCCCTAGATCAGATAATGAATAATATTTTATCCAGGCTTCTAAACATGTTCCTACACAGCACTGATTAAAACAATACGCTAGACGTTTCAGAACAGGTTACACAAAGTATCTTCAAGGTTCAAGAATTAAATCTCATAAGAGAACGGAGCATGTTCTGGTCCCTCATGCACGGCTGAGAAAATGGCCTGGAGTTTATTCCCAGTCTCTCTTCAACGTCGGTCAAGGACTAATTGCAGTTGTTGGGCTGGGGCAGCTTAGATACGAACCTTAGAAATAGGGGTTAAACAAAATGCCCTTGATCACCTTGGGATTTTTTTTCTGTCTGCTTAGATTTGTGCAGGATGGTCTCCAACCCAGCTCATTCCTCCACCGCTGGTGGGCCCCTGGGCGCTGGGACTTCTCTGGGGCAAGCATTAAAGATGCGTTCGGAAATTCCTGCCCCAAATGTGCTTTCAGATTTGCACAGGACCATGTGTCAAGCTATTGTGACTGTCTTCTTGTTTTTCCAAACTAAGAGAACAGAAGCTTTCATAGGCAAAAGTGCATAATTCTCCAGAAAACAAAGGACTAGCGAATAGAAACAAAGCAGACCATGAATAGGGTTCCATGAAAGACTTTTGTTGGAAAGAGGAGGATCTGTGTGGCAACCCACACATTTGCACCTGCTTTAGGAAGAAGCAGCCACACTGGGTTGAAGGTAGCACCCTCAGAAGAATTGTTTCTGCTGCTGCCAGTCTGATATTTATGTCCTCTGTTGTTTTTTAAATCTCCTAAAATCTTTAGGACACTTTAGACCTATAGATATCAGGCTCAAGAACGTATTCAAGGAGATCCCATTGGCAATGAGGCATAAAGGTATTTGCTTCCCTGGGATGCCAAGAGATCAGGTAGTATTTTAGACAGAGCGGGTAAACACAGAGGAAGTGGGCAAAGGGTGCTGAGGAAAGAAGCAAATCCTCCAGATTTCCACAAAAATGCTGCTTCTCCAAAATGCTGCAGGGGTTGTTGGCAAAGAACAAAATACTCTCCCTCCTTCTGTGGCCACCGTGCCTCTAATGCACCTTGGAGAGGCCTGGAGCCCCTCGACCACTTGTCCTCCGGCGGGACCTGGTCAGTGCCCGTTGCCGCGCAAGTTAAAGGCTGCACCGTGCAGACGGTGTCTCTGGCTGGCCAGGACGGGTCCTCTGTTGCCGACACCTGTGGCCACACTGGCTGCAGGTAGGGTCACCCACCACTCCTGTTTGCCCAGGGCCTGCGGGTTTCCAGGCTACGGGACGGTGGGGTTGAAAGCTGGGAAGGTCCTGGGCAAACTCGGTCGGGTGGTCCCCCAAAGTTTACAGCTTTTGTTGTCTTTTAGTTGCAGTAAATACATATAACATAAAATTTACTACGTCACCATTTTTAAGCGTACAGTTCGTTGCATGCACTCGCAATGCTGTGCAACCGTCACCACCATCCCCCTGCAGAACTCCCTCAGCTTCCCAGAGCGAAACTCTGTGTAGAGGCTCCTCGCCCCCGCCCCGGGCAACTGCCGTCCGCTCCAACTGCCGTCCGCTCTTTTGTCTCTGTGAATTTGACTGCTGCTGGAGGTACTTCATATGAGTGGAATCATATAGTATTTGTCCTTTTGTCCTGGGTTTTTTGACTTACATGCTGTCCTCAAGGTTCATCCATGTTGTAGCATGTGTCAGAATTTTCTTTCTTTTTAAGGCTAACTAATATTTATTTATAGAGATATGCCACACTTTGCATATCCATTCATCCAGCCGTGAACACTTGGGTTGCTTCCACCTCTTAGCAATTGTGAACAGTGCTGCTGTGAACACGGGTGTGCAAGCATCTGTCTGAGTCTCTGCCTTCGGTTCTTTTGGGGATGCACCCGGAAGTGGAATTGCTGGATCCTATGGTAATTCCATGTTTAATTTATTGAGGAAATTCCATATGTTATTCACATCATTTTACTGCGGGCTTTGTCTTTATTTCACCCACTCAGGGGCATCCCTCTTCTAATGCCCCAGGAAACCACTAGTGACCCATGAAACTGGACTAGGGAGGCCTCACACCAAACCACTCACACACTCCTATTAGACCTGCCTGCCCCCTGAATTTCCTCACTGGCCCCCTCCTGGGTGTCCCCTCTCTCCCTGCCTCTCACCACCCCTCAGCTACCAAGCCAAGCTAAGGACATCTCCTCTTGCTGAGCAGTGGAATCACTGCCTTTATCTACTTAATCCTGCCCTTGGGGATTCACTTTATACCTCAGGCAACTACCTAGGGAACATTCCTGTCTGACTGGAGGAAACAAACCTGTGTTATAGACCAGAGTTATTCTGAGAGGCCAATGGTCTTCCGCCCCCTCCCCCCTTCCTGTGCTCTCTCCCCTGAGGGGAACAAGCCCTGTCACCACAGTGCACAGACGGTCATGCAGTGACATTTCTTCTCCTTTCACCAAGCACTATACCCTAATTACAGGATTGCTGGTATTACAGCTGCACCTCTGAGAATCCAACAAGCGCCTTGACCCCTGGGACGGGGGATTAGAAGCCCTCCTGTCCTAGCGTTGAGCCTTCGCCAGGGAATGCGTTAAACCCACACTGGTAGTTGAGTCACGGGGGCTAGCTTCTCAGGTTTTTAAAAGTAAAGTCTTGAAGCTGGGAGGCCCTGGCTAGCTTCCATATCCTGCACCTTGGTCTGGAAAGAAAGGACTTAAGCTGTGAACCACTTACCTTTATCTGACTGGCATTGTTCAGCTTACTTGGCATATTACTTACCATCTAATTTGATTCTCACAGTCCTTGGAATAAGCATTATGCCTTTTCTGTAGTTGAAGAGAGAAAAATTCAATGAACATTAGTGACTTGCCCAAAGCCACACAGCTAATGAGGAGCAAGGTGCAGCCTGAACCCAGATTCTAACTCCGGAGCAGTGGATTTCCCATGTCAGCTGCCTGTTGGGACCCAACCCCACTCCAGGTGGATAGACATCATGGAGAGACCATGAGCTCTGAGCTCTGACAGCCCCTCCGTGATCCGAGGGCCACTGCGCACAGTTCCTCAACTTCTCTGAGTTGACTTCCTCAACCATGAAACAGATCTCCTCACCTAGAGTTGTGGGAAGATGCAGTCAAATGACATATGGAAACTGCATCTGACATTACGTGGCAGAACAGAGGGCTGTGCTGTCATTGCTGCCCTATGTGTCTCCTTGGCAGAAAAGAGAGAAAGAGGAAGGAGTTGCGCCATCCACAAATAACCCCCCTCCCCATAACCACCCTCAGGAGCCGCCATTCTCCTGCACAGGATCGGCAAAGGCAGGCGTTACTTACCATTTGCTGAAAATACTGATTTTATAAAAGGCCTCTTAGCAAAATACTCAAATTGTCCTGCTGGCACCTTGGAACTGACTGTGCGGTTCCAACAAAGTTGGCATGTAGACAAATTACGGAAACTGTACCTGTTAGACTAGGTGAGGAGTTATTATCACCCCCCTTCCTAATAGAAAATGCTAAGGCATTAGGAATATTATGGACCTTCAACTCTTAGGTCCCTGAGCACAGAACTCACTCCATGACCCCACACCCCAACTCTAGCCGAAGAGGCAGAAGAACCTAGTTGCCAGCAGTTTGGGTGCCTGGGTCCAATTGTCTGAGTTTCTGATCCCAGCTGTGCCATCTATGAGCTTTGTGACTTGACACAGTCCCCCACTCTGCTGAGGTTCTGCCTCTTCATACACCAATTGTGGAAATAATGGTAAAATTACTTGATGGAATTGTAGAAGACTGACTGTTGCATGGTAATAATACCTGTTATTGGACTAATGTCTGTGTCCCCCAAATTTACATGTTGGGGTTCTAACCCCCAATGTGAAGGTATTTGGAGGGGGGCCCTTTGGGAGGTGATTAGGCTTTGAGGTCATAAGTGTAGGCCCCCATGATAGGATTAGTGTCTTTATAAATGATGAAGAGAAATCTTTCTCCGTCATGGGAGGACACAGTGAGAGAGCAGCCATCTGCAAACCAGGGAGAAGGTCCTCACTAGGAAGTGAATCAGCCCACAAACTTGAACTTGGACTTCCTGATCTCTGAGAAATAAATGCCTATTATTTAAGCCTCCCAGCCTATGGTATTCTGTATAGCAACCTGAACTAATACATACTCCAAGAGCCTAGAACAGTGTCTGATCTATAGTAAAACATTCAGTAAATGTTATTGTATATTTATGTTTGGCTCTTTGGGAATTTTATTAAGAAATATTGTGGGCATTCTAAAATGTTTTAAGAATAATATAACAGCGTACCCACCACCCAGCATAGATGTGAAACATTACCAATACATGTTGAGGCCCCTGTATACCATCTCTAATCACATTCTCTCCTTTCTGCCCAGAGGCAAACATGTTCCTGAATTTGGTGTTTTTTATTCCCATGCATTTCTTTATACTCCAGCTCCATCTGTACGTATCTGTAAATAATGAGACTGGGCTGGAAATACCATTAAGCCAGGACTGACATGCACTTCTTCCAGAAGGATTTAGATATAGCATCTAACTTAGCACAAAGTATTGTTTGGCAAGCACGTCCTCATTTGTCACCTCATTATGTATGTCCTTTCACTTCCCTGAGCTGGAAATGTGCTACTGTCTCCAAGTGGCCCAATTGATGATGCATATCCTGGGTTAGGTCTCCTATTAGCGGATCTGTGCTTGTCAGGGACTGTGGAGCTGCAGCCCCGCCTCCCCCGACCCCAGGCTCACTACTGATGTCCCCTCCTCCCTTCCAGATGGAAATGCGGCTGCAGGACCAGCAGCTAGCCAGACAGCTCATGCGCCTGCGCAGTGACATCAACAAGCTGAAGATTGAGCAGACCTGCGACCTCCACAGGCGGATGCTCAACGACGCCACCTACGAGCTGGAGGAGCGCGATGAGCTGTCAGACCTCTTCTGTGACTCCCCGCTGGCCTCCTCCTTCAGTCTCTCCACGCCACTCAAGCTCATCGGAGTTACCAAGATGAACATCAACTCCCGGAGGTTCTCCCTCTGCTGAGAAGCCCTGGAACCAGGCAGAGGATCCAGAACTGGGGGTTTGGGGGTGAGGAGGGGGCGTGAAAAGGGAGTTGAGGCCGAGCTACCCCAAAGGCAGGGCTTCCCTGAGACCAGTGAACCCTGAACCCCCAGGACCTGTCGCCACGCGATCTCCCTGGGGCCCCAGGTTTAGAGCCCAACATCCCCATGACTGGTTCTCACCTAATACCCAAAGAGTCCTGCAGAAGGGCCACTCCACCCATGTTCAATGAGACCCGGGTTGCCAGCACGACACATCTCAGTCCTCCCTTCAGTGATCCATATTCCTGTTTCCTGGAATCGCTGGTGCTATGAGAACTGGGATCCCAAACCGGGGGGCCCAAAAGCTGTGATTCTTGCCAAAGCCTTCCCCACAGGCCCTGGGCCACCAGGGAGAAGTGATTAGTTACATCAGATGTGCCCACCTTGCTGGGGCTGTCTGTCCTCTAAGTCCTGGCTGGAATTCACCCTACATAGGTGACTCAACAACCTGGACAGCAACCCACCAGGAAAGGAAAACTGAAAGGATACAGTGTGAGTTGTATCCATCCTGTGCCAGGCGGAGCAAGCATAGACACCCTCTGTTGCCTGCTCAGCCACAAGTGCCGGTCCCAGGCTCCAAAGAGTCCCTTTGCCGTCACCCCACCACCCTGGGGGAGTGCCTAGGAGACCACTGGTGACTGAACCAAGCAGCTCTGTCAGTGGATTTCCTATAACTGAATTCTTCCTGGGGCCAGCCAAGGCCTCCTGATGGATTCTGACAATGTCACCTACGTCACCTTCTTTGCCCTCCCCAGAAAAACTTGAGGGAGCCCAGGCGCTTGCCCTGAGCTCTTCCGAGATTCTGTGCCTAATTTAAACGACTAATTTTAATTGAATCAGACTGTTACTAATCTGTCACTAACCTGTTAATAACTGTTTGATTTTTGTCCAAATGGCAAAGCCAGATGGCTAGGTGAAGTACAGAGGTTCAGGATTTTATTTTTAAAGGGTCTTCCTAATGCCAAGCATGAGGCTCAAGAAGGTGAGGACTGAGACCTGGACAGGTTAGGGAAGTTAACCTGGTAGAGTGCCACACGTCCGTGTTCTCCGCCAGCTGACAATTTGTGACCTTTGATGTCATCTAGCTGAGGCCTGTCGTTGATAAAGGAGTAGAGTGAAGGCAAGGGAGGAGAAAATACCTTCCCTCAGGTTCACAGCTCATTAGTGGCCATAGGATATTGATGCTTTAAATCATTATTGATAATGCCTGGACAGGTCCTATATCAACGAACTTGAACTCCAAAGATGGTCCTAAATGCTTTGCCAAACCTACAAACTGCCAACCTCTACTCTCCACCTCATTCAGCTGCCAATTGCACCTCCCACTTCGCAATTCAGAATATTTGGGTCAAACTCAGAGCAATGTCTGGACAGCAGACCCGCAGACCACATATGCCCAATCACAGATCCATGAAGTAAGCTGTCCTACTGCTCTGACTTTCACGTTTTGTCTTCCTGTATAATCTCATTGGGGCCGTGCGCACGCGCGCGCGCACACACACACACACACACACACACACACCCAGGACCCACAATGGGAAAAGGTTGCTTTTCTTCTATGGGCTGGGAGTAGAAAGATATAAATGAATGGTCTCTAGTGAGACAGAAAAGAAGTTGGTCTCTTCCTAGTGATTTCAAAGAGCCTGAGGGTTTATGCTTCCTTCAAAGAGGTTTTAACCACGTGGCTAAATTTGTTTTGGCCCAACTCTGAGCAGTGACAGAAGTCTGAGGCCCAGAGGACTCATTTATGGAGGCCTCGGAGGAAGACCAGCCCCCCTCAGGCAGGAAAGGAGGGAGATTTTTCTCTACTCAGTGATTTCTCTTTAGGAATCTGTGCAAGCGCTGCCAAGCCCCACAGAGACGTCCCTGCCAGCCGCCTCCCTCCAACGAGCAGTGAGGTCGTTGGTATCAAGAGGGCCTATGATGCTCACCACACACCCTGTGGACGCGCGCACACACACAGACGCGGGGAAGCTCATTCCACATTCTGGGGGAAAAAAGGGCCAAACTGACTTTGTTTCTTTCTAGAAACTAGTCATCATAGTACCCAAAAAAGTAGGAATCCATTTTTGAATGATTTAGTTGAATTTTGTCCACCCAAGTGAATTGGAGTTAAGTGGGCAATTTAGTTGCTCTGTTAGCCTAATGTTTCCTTCTTTTTTTATCTTTCTTTCTTTTCTTTTCTTTTTTTTGAGAGAGGAAACTGAACTGAGTTCAATGCACACTTTTTTTTAGATAGGTTGAATATCTCAGCTATTTTGCTTAGTTCATCCTAAGAGAACTTTATTTTGGGATAAGGAAGAAGGAGAAAGAAGAGGGGATCAGAGAAAAGAGGCAGAGGGGAAAAGAGAGGTGTGTTTTCTTACTTGTTGTCCAGTGTCTGTTACTTCCCGTATTTCCACAGTGAACACAAATAACTAAGTCTGTTCAGCTTGTGAAATCCCTGCTTTGTGTGGGTCAAGAGATGCCAGCTCCCCAGAGAAACCTTCTGGTTTCCCACGTGTATACAATACTGTTCGCACTTTTACTCACTATCTACCCATCTCCCTGCCTTCTGCGAGGACCCTGCGGTGTAAAACTCAAAGTCTCCATTGATGCTTCCCTGTGCAGCAATGTCTGATGCCTTTGTGGCTCAGCGGTGGTCACAGAGGCCTGGAGAGCCAGCCCCGGGCCACCTCCTTGTAGCAATACCAAGTGCTATTACGTAATCGATGGACAATTTATAATTTTATTTTTTACAATTATTTGTTTCTATATTGATGTCAGAAAGAGTGAAATAAAAATATTTCAAAGGAAGATATCGATATAAAGAGGAGAAATTCACTTCCTTTTATATTGTTCCTGTTATAGCACAAGGCCTAGCACTCAACTGAAAGAAAAAGAATGAGAGAGAGAGAGGAAGGAAAGGTTTGAGCCATCAATCAGCAAATGGCGAAAAAGATGCGCCCTAATCACTCTTCCTCCTCTAGGGGGCCTTCCCCCAAGGGACTGTCTGTGGGCTGCGTGAGCTGAGTGAGTGCAAAGTGTGGAATTAAGAGATGCAGTCGTTCTCCTGAATTTCACCAAGGCCAGCACCATGCTCTCCCCCAGGGGTCCCTTCCAAAGGTGCCTCTGATGGAATTCAGAGTATTTGGGTCAAACCCATGACAATGCCTGGACAGTGGAACCATATTTCAAGTCACAATTCCATCATTGAAGTATGGTGCTTCGCATTACCATGCTCTGAGAACTTGTGCCTTAAACTTTTTCAGCCTCTTAAAAATAGAAGGCCTCTAAATCAAGCATGTGTGAAGATTACCTGGGCACCTGTTGCCAATGCATGTTCCCGGGAAAATCCCTGGGCTCCGCCCCGGGTGCAGCTGTACGCCTCTGTCACGGGGCCTAGGAGTCTGTTTTTAACAAACGCCCGGGGAGACTGACACGAGTGGCCCACAGACCTTCGAGAATCCTTCCAAAGGACAGGGTGGACAAGGGGAGGAACTGCTGGAATCACTCCTATCTCAGTGGTCCCAGGAGAGGCCAAGGTTGGGGAGTCCTAACAGGTGTTAGTAATCCCACTGTGTGGAACGAACAACTGAAAAGAAGTTCTCTGTAGTCCCTTGAGGTCATATCACCTGCCTATGACAAGACCATGAGTGACTAGACCTGTTTCCTGAAAAGAGTGCCCAGTATGGGTTAGGAGGTGAGGGGCAGAGTTGGCACTTGGAAACACTCTGTCATGATCGGCCGCGTGGGTCAAAGGGCACTTGTGAAGCCCCTGGGCCTTTCTACGCACCGACACCCCCAGATGGGACCGCACATACACTTTTTTTTACCCGAAAGGGAAAGTCCTTTAATTTGGCTTCCAAATAAATTAAGTGACTTTTTAAAGTGCCACAGAGAAGATAAAATGGGATGACAGTGTCATTGCACGGGAAGGGGTGGCTTTACCACATAGGGAAGGCTTCTCTGACGAGGTGCTATTTCGGCTGCAGAGGCCACCATTCAAAGATGAGGAAAGAGACGGTTTGGGGTAGAAAAACAGGGAGCAGACTCGGAGGCGGGGTGAGCGTGGCCTGCTGTGTGGCTGGTGTGCGGAGCCATGGGGGGAAGTGAGCGTCAGCCTCATGTTCTGAGCGAGGAGTCTGGGTTTTATTTGGGTTGTGCAAGAAAGGTTTCGAGGCTTTTGATCAGGGAAGTGCTATATAATCTGATTTAAATGTTAGCAAGAGCTATGTAGGAAGTGGGGCAGGGGGCAGAAGTGGAATCCAGAAGAAGAATGAGGAGGCAGTTACAGTAGACATGACAGTGACAGGGACTCGGGTAGCAACTGTGGACAGGGTGAGAGATGGTCTCATTTGGGATTTACTTTGGGACATACTGTGGCAGGAAAGCCGACAGGAAACTGTGAGAGCTTGATGTGGAACGCGAAGGCAACAGCAGCTGGATGGAGAGGGGCTGCCATTCACTGAGATGGAGAAAGTTTGAGGGGACCATGGCTGGGGGTGGGTGGGCAGCATCAATAGTTCTGTATCAGCCACGTTACATTTACATGTAAATTAGACATCCAAGTGGGGAGTGAGTAGCTGGTTGGATATAAGACTTGCGCTTCAGGGGAAGGCCAATGTTGGAGACATAAATTCGGAAATCTGGATTTGGGTGTTTGGATACCATTAAAAGCACCATACCTGGATAAACTCTATAAAGAGAACGTAGGCATTAAAAAAGGGGGCTAAGAAAAGCATCCTGGGGCCTTCCCGGAGGCCTGACAGAGAAGAGGTGCCATCAGGAGACTTAGAAGGAACAGCCGGCCAAGTAGGGGGAAACCCAGATGAAGGCGGCATCCAAGAGACTTAACGACAATGTTCCAAGAAGGAGAGAGTCATCAATATCAAATGCCGCTGAGCAATCGAGGCAGAAGCAGAGATAAACAGTGGTTTCAGCAAGATGGAGCTATTTAGTCATTTAGTACAGGGGTGAGCATAGCGTCCAGTTGTGTGGATTGAGGAGAAAACAGGAGGGGAAGAAACAGAGGCTGCAAAGAGAGACCAGTGTTTCAAGTCCGCTTGCTCTAAAAGGATCCTTCTTATTTCTTCCATAAGGCAGGAGAGTGACTGGGAGCAGGTGGAATGTCAGAGGTTTGAGGAGAAAGAAGTGTGCAATAATTGTCTCAGAAAATGAATGTGCTGATTTCTTAGAAAGGGTCATTGAATCTTCCTCCTCTGGTGGTGGCTGCCTGTTTGAGGCTTGCGGTCAGACCTGTGAAGCCAGCCTGGTGAGTGGGGTTGAGCGATTTTCCTCTCCAGCCGTGGCTTGCTGTCCCAGTCCAGACACAGGCCAGGCAGACGGCAGAGAAGGGAGGCGCCAGGCAGGTACGCTGAAGGACGGGGAAGGCAGAGCTTGAAGTGTTTTGCAAAGGAGCAATCATAGTGTTGGACCAGGGCATCCAAATCGAGGAAGGAGGGAAGAGGGGACTTAGAGACATAGAGCAGGGGTGGCAGCAGGGCTAGAGTGGTGGGGTCCCTGGGTGGAGGTCACAGGGCCATCTGGGAATTGCCGGGATGAACCAGGAGGGTGCAGCTGCT